GTACTGCGCAACGTTCTATTTTCATTTTCATTTGCTTAACTTTTGATGAAAGCGAAATGTAAATGTACTAATATTGGCGTAATAAGCAACACTATAAATAATAAATTATAATAGTCAAGGTTTTCCATTTTGTTTCTTTATATAATTATATACCTACCACAGTACAGCCGCATCCCACTAGCTTTGCTACATTACACAAGTGCAATTTATCCACTTTATTTTCTTTAACGGACTATACAAACCTCCGTTTGCGCCAAACATTGTAAGTTTCGAATACGCTGTACAATATTTAAGTAAAAATGCGTGCAATTGGGATGTTGGTTATAATCGTTGGAAAAATTATTTTCTACTTATTGCAATCGAAACGTGAAAAGGGAAAAGAGGTCGCAATTGATGGCAATCAGACAATCCCCGTATAGACGATGACAATCTGCAGGATATTATGGTATAATATATTGTATTTTAAGACAATTTATCACCCGGTCGTGGAAAACGGTGTTTTGGATCGGTAGTATAGTAGTATTAAACTTCGGAAGGCGCGGAAATTATTTCGGAAACGAGTAATATTAATTCCGCGGGAGTGGCTAAATAGTATAATGTAATGGGTAAATCGGCAACGAGTCGGTTGCAAGACAATAAGCGCAGATGATTATTGTTATTATTGTCCATCCGTGGCGAGGAACTATTATTAAACAATGCGGTATAGTGAAACAATATTTGAATATTATACGAAATATAGATTATATAGTATGATGCTTAAGCGTTAAGGGGACGCCACACCCCGTGGGTGTCCATTAGGGAGGTAAAAACGGGACATTTATTTCCCTTCCCCTGCTGGGAACTAATACGACAATAATATTTAATAAATATCCATATTATATCATCCAATTACTTAAAGAGCACACAAAAATTGTTAATTCTTAATCACTATTACAAATAGGTAACTAATAAGTATAAAATTACACGATTGTTACTGTTTTGTCAATAGTGGCGTTCTACAATACGTTAGGTTTAAAGCTAGTTTTAAGTGTGAAAATGGAAAATAAAATGAAAAAGAAACAATCGGAAAATACTCATTACTCCCTCATTAAAATTAAAGTAAAAAGCAAAGTCTCCGGGAGAAAACTACAGACTTGGGTGTGGTGTCCTCTTAACGACGGCGATCTACAAAATATTATCACTCCGGTAACCATATAATCTGTATACGCGCAACCCTTCACAACGGGGTGTTAAATTTCCACGGGAGGGGAGGTGCGGCCAAGGGTTGGCCTCGTTGGTCTCCGATTTTGTCCGGCGGCCGTCATATCTTTAAGACCGAGCAGTATGCACGTATCTCGAACTAATCGCGAAACGGCAGCATCAGCTATATCATTATGTATTGAACGCGGTCCATACAATATACAGCCGGAAAATGGATGGGCATGACGAGTAGACGTGGCGTTGACTGCATATTTTAACATAATATTATATTGATATTGATATTCGTGGTTTATTTCAATGCGCATAAAAGAGATTAAGTGACTCGCAGTTTGCTTGTAAGTGGGTACACTGCAGCATTGTTCCCGTAACGGTATCAATAATTAAATACTATTTTTATCACAATTTCATATAAATATAATTTAACAATAAAAGAACTCACGATCCACAAATTTTACATTGAAAATTGCAAAGCTCTAGTGTAATTAAATAAAAAGTCCCCGATACAGTAAGACGTATATTTTCAGTGTGTCTGCATTGCATTAATATCTTGTTCAAAGTTTTACTTATACCAAGCACTTAGAATGTATAAGACGTAATATGTAACTGTGTTTATGATCGTCCCGCTCTTAAGAACGAGATATGCAAATTAAAAAAAACCACACCACCGAGATAGATGATACTTTTTTAAACGTAATGTACCTCACAATATACAGCACAAACTATGTTTTAACGACCGAAAATCTTAATTGAATTTTTCTCATGTCTGAAATTTAAACGAAAAATACATTGAGCACAGTCATCTGTTAGTGATGTATCATTCTAATTGTTCACATAATATTATTCTTTGTGTGAGTATAATACTATATTGTAAAACGTTTAAGCGATAAATCTTAAAACACAACCGTACAAATATTAGACTAATGTTTATGTAAATGCTCGCCCGTCGAATACCGCTAGAGAAATTGTATTGATACAATATTAAATGCCACTTAATAACAGAGAATTTTTTTTTTTTAACGCAGTACCGTTCTAATAGTATTTTTTCGTTCAGTCCATGGTTCACGTTAAGCGTTGTTCAATAAACTAGATTTTTTCCTACATCGAGTCTATTCATTTTAACAACGTAATACCTAACGACACCGGATATATTTTATTTCATTTTCGATGCCTTAGTTTTAACCCTTTTCCATACATTACAAAAGATAATATAATATTAGGGTTCGTTTGTCAATAAATTATTCAGCATTCGGACAATCCCAGTGGGTATATATCATGCATGCAATTTGTTGACATGCCACTGTCGTCTGTCATGTTTATTTATGTCTATGGTCTATGTAAAGTGGCTCACAAATAAAATCGCACTCTTTGATAATTTATACATTTAAATATTATAGTACCTTATTATGGTTTATAATATTTTAAGCCAAATACTTATCAGCAATTTAGGATAGTTAAATTTATTAATTAATATTAATTCCGTAATGCATTGCATAATGATAATTCCCAGTGAACGCATATATATATATATATATACGTTTTTTGTATAAAGATCATTATGCTCCACCCCGAAAGCACATTTAAATATACATTTTATGTAAATATTTATATTTTGTTTCGACCAATGTAAATATTATTTAAATCACGAATCGTGTATGAAATGTAATCTAAAAGGATTTTAGTATTATCATTTACGTTATTTTATTACTTATTTGTATTTATTTAAATTTTTCAACACTGTCGCGTTTCGAGTTTAATATTTTTGCAGTATCTCAAAGTAAATATTTATTATACCTGTAATTTTATATTTTATTAGTTACCTACAAGTTATGTATTGTTATGTTTATTTTGTAGTCCCTTAACTGTTTTTAAATAGCCTATTATTAAACGAATGTTAATTATAACGTTACATTAATTTATCACTAAAAGTGACGGATTTGAAATAATGATTGTAATAAACTCTATGAATAATAATTTTAAATTTATAATATTTATGGAGTTCAATTGAGAAATCTTATTATAAATTAACTTGATTAAATCAAATTTTCCAAACATTGAAAATGTGGTCGTAAACGGTTCTTTTTCTAAGTGAAACTATTTCTTAAGTCTTTAATAGTCTAATGGGTACCTAAACTTACAATATTACAATATGTACTACATTATATATGGTATATTATATTAGTTAGGCGATAAATTATTAATTATACTTCTATAGGTACTGTTATCCTCTATGCGGTATGTATTAATTAATAACTTATGTACTTTAAAATAATTATTGTGTTATAGCAAATTAATATAGGTACATCTTTGAAAATGTAATATTGTAAATTATACTACTGTGGCTATACTGTGAATTTAATATTGAAAATAAATGTATTAATTTAAGTCATATAAACATAAAAAAATAATCTTATTTAAACAGTAATTTTCAAATTTTCGAATTTTAGGGAAATTAAAAATTAATAAAACTATCCTCACATTTTAAATTGCAAAATCATCTTAAAATAACTAAACTTTTCAAACATCGAGTTCAAAAATATATTACACAAGACACAAGTATAACAGCTAATATAATAGTAATATAACGATTGAAGGGCTTCCGATTGAAATCAAGATAAGACTTCAGGTGCTATTGATTTTTATTAGGAGAGGTGAAAAAAGGCAAGAGGTATTAGATTTCACCCTACCCGTTGGTCCAGGTGGAATTCATATTTTATATACACAATTAGGTGACTGAAACTACTTGACCTCAATACTCGGGGGATCCACCGATACATATTTTTCGAGTGCTTCGTTTGTACATCTAATGACATTATTTGTAAGTGCATTACTAACACAAAATATGATTTTTTATAAATTTGCTATATTCATATGTCAAAAGTCCAAAATTATTATGGTTCGTTTCGTTCGTTTTTGACACCTATTCGTGGTGATTGGGTAGTCCTATCCCATATAGGTCAACGCGAACTTGAAATATTTCTTTAAAAAAAAAAACCTTTCTTCTATAACTTGGACACTGTTTCGATGTTATTTTTAACTGCAATGCAAAGACGAAGGGAATTCGTTGAATGTCAGCAGGTACATGTGTATAACGTACGAAATGTGGCCGATTTGTAGGTCGTCGGGACTTTCTGATGTCCCACGGATCGATAAAGCGATGCTACACACATACACTGACACACACTACACACACACACACTCACAAACACATATGTAAGCGCTTTTGTACGCTATATAGCCCAAATAAATAACCTTTAACACACGCACATTTATGTTGAACAAATGTCTGTGAATGATTCCACTCCATGAGTGCAATAAATAATATTATAATTAACATATCTTCATTATACTTACTAACTTTCGTCTTACACAAATTTACAACAGTAAAACATATAATGGCTTCTGTTGGAATAAAATAATTAATAAAACACAGTTGTGTGTGAGGTCGAATATAAAAATGTGTAGGAATTCGATTGATATGAAACATCGCACCTTCAAAATATATATAATAATTAATTAATTAATTAATAAAATAGTACACGAAATATCCCTTTTTTTTTGTTTTATGAGAGGTCAGACCACAGATGTACAGAGTATATATATATTCTATATATCTGTGGGCCAGACTGTGATTCGGCGAGATTGAGAAACTATGGTACCTATACCGTTGTTTTTAATCTCGTAAATCAATAGGTACACATATTATAAGCATGGACATCAATTAACGTGAACGTGGCTAGTACTTGTCTCGTAACATAATATTTATAAATATTATATAAATATCTGTGCAATGATGGTTTCAGGCAACCGTGCCGCTAGCGTGACATGGACAAGCGTGCGGAACACGTGAGGAAATTGCCTCCGTTGGCCTCGTCCGAAGATCTCAGTGAGGATTTATTAGACAGCCCGGAAGCTGACGCCAAAAACAAATGTTTGGAAGACATCGAGGAAGTGCCGAACACGCCGGCCAAGGCGTCAAGACAACAGACGATATGTTTGGCGATGCCAAACACTCCGAGGATAGACATCTCTCGAGCCAGCAGTTCTTCGCATCACGACGACAGTAGTCCCGAGAGAGATTTGTTTGTCGGTGAGTTTAAGTACCTAAAATATTGTAATATTGTAAATAATAGGTACGCCTTGAGATTATAATATTACAGTCTCTATAACCTGCCATACTAAATCTTTTTTTTTTCGTCAATATTTGTGTTAAGTCATATTGGTTTAACTTAGTGTTTAAGTTATTAACATATATATTCCTAGGTAAGGAAGGGGAGGGGGTTAAAAGGGATACAAATTTAAAAAAATTGAATAATTGTATTATTACATTTTAATAACATATTTTTATGATTTATTGTGTGGAAGTTAAACATAATTTTTAAGCTAGTGTGATTTGTAATTTTGAGTTTTTAACTTATGGTTGGTCCATGCGCATCCCAATATCCGTATCGAGTTATTTTTAGTGAGAATTTGTTGTCTTGCGTACCTCGATGGTGCCCTATACGGTACATTTATGTACATAATTTGCTTCGATTACAATTAAAATACCTACGCCTACTTGCAGCTCTTTTTTCCTTTGTCCGATTTCCGCCGTGTATATACCAACCTTTTTTCGTTGGTTTACGGCCAAAACTGAAATCTCGTTTGGCCGTCAAAATCAAAAGTGAATTTCAAGCAAGGTTTATAATAAAACGTTTTAATACGTAATAGCTAAAAATAATGGATACTAAAGGTATACCAGCTGCGATGAGAAGGGTGTGAATCTTAGACATTTAACAGACCCGTTTATCAGCCGGCTAAATGTTTATATGATATAATCTTGGCAAACATTATATCCAATTAAACGGAATACTCCACAAGAGTTTGACAGATATAATTACCAGATATTACTTTTTTAGCTTTACAAAAACCTTGTCAGTGTGCATGGGTAAACATTGCGTGTTTAACAAACGCAGTAAAACGTGTTAAATATAATTAAAAATCAACCGAAGCGTGTGATAGGGATGTACAACATTTGGTTATAATTTGATTTTTGTTTATCACATAATTTTTTTTTTACTGTTTTTTTAAATTATTTTTATTGTTATTTGTTTGTATTAGATGCTGACGGAAAATCAGTTGAATCTGTTAAATCTGGTCTAGGATATACGGAAGAGATTATACCTGACCTCCATAGCAGTACTGAAGAATTAAACTTTCACGACTTAACGGAATCGGAAATCAGAAGGCGGCGGTCAAAACTGCAGCCTCAATACGCGGTATTATTTTAGCATAAATAACAACATAATCCCTTACTGTGATTGCAATTTCAAACAAGTTTTATTATTAAATTAATAATAGTATTACTATTAAATCGAACTACCTTTGAACTATATTAAATATCTTTCATCTTCGTCTGCATATATACCTACATTTTAAAATTCAAACTCATTTTACTCTATATTTGACCTACTTTTTATTAGATCATTAAAAATATGGGTTAAATAAAATATCACTGGTGGGTAAAAAATATTTCTTCTCAAAATCATTAAAATGTGTTTGCCAGTTTAACAATAGTACCTATAATTAGTAATTATACACTTCAAACCAGTTAATTGATAAATCATTCAACTATAGGTACTACTAACGAATGGTAAATTTTAAAATTAAATAATTATAAGTAAAAAAATAAAATTGGAAAAATATTAATAGTTGTAGAGCTGAAAAGAATTACAATATTTTATTCCATGTAGGTAGTTAATAATGTAAGTAATAAATTCAAAATATATATTCATTACTTAATTATACCTAAATTTTCAATAATGAACATACAAATTAATTCATGTAATTATTTTGTAGATCTAACTCTGTACAACAGAAAAGCAATACAAAAAATAGCTTTAATATTCAATTTAGATATTAGATCAAACATGTTATTTTAAAATGTTTAATAAATACCTGTTATTTCATTTACAGGTTTCTGACGCTACTATGGATACGGATTTTGCTGCTGATCGAAGAGATACAGCTAGCGAATCCGGTTTTTTGTGCATTAGTGGTCGTAGTAGCCGAGTTTCTTCAGTAGGATCAGTACATTCTACTGCCTCCATAGCTTCTGCAGCATCACGATTGTCTGCTGCATCGAATTATTCCAGAGCTTCCAGAGGTTCATCACCACATAGAGTTCTTTTGGAGACATCATTTTGTGGTCCAAAATCACCCGAACACTTTGCCAATCGCCAACTGATCCCTTTCAACGACGACGACGACGATTTAAGTGAACCAACTGTCAGGCCAAAATTAGCAGACATTGAAACTCAGACAGAACGAAGACCAAAAAAAGTACACGTAGAATCTGTCAAAAAGGAAATAAAAAACGATCAAGTTAAAGCAAAAGTAAAGAAAACTAAGTCAAAAGAAATAAAAGAGGTTAAAGAAATAAAAGTGGTCAAAGAAATAACAGTTACAAAAGATCTGACCATGGAAAACGAATCAAAAGAAAAAAAAACAAAAACAAAACCTACTTCAAAAGTAAAAGTCGTTCTTGATAACCCAAAACAACAAAAATTTGTACCACTAGACAGTCTTGATGACGACGATATAGAAATAATTCAGGGTAATGCACCAAAACAAGTTCCAACAGCTATACCAAGGGAAAAGTCATCTCGCCCAAAGATATCTACAGGAGAAAATCAAATTTACATTCCATTAAACCCTGATCCGAACGAACAAGGATCTGCAAATCCTACTAGTCCTAAACGATTAAAGCCGTTTACAAATCGGACATTAGTAGATTTTATCAATAGAGATCCGGCCACTATCGAATCTTCTAAAAGAATAAGGAGACCTATAAGATCAAGCTCACCAGGAATCAGAGAAGAATTTAAAAAGTTCATATCAAGTACAGATGAAGAGGCTGACGGAGCTCCGATACAACCTGTCAAGTTAAGAAAACAAATGAGTATTGAAATGACTAAAAGAAAGTCTATAGATCAAGATTGTTCTTCCAGATCCATGTCACCGTCAATATTTGAAGAGTTTCAAAAGTTTATTTCTGAACCAGAAGATGGAGATATAAATGTTACAAAACTTGAAACAAAAAATCGTTGTTCAGCCATTTCCATTACGAGCCGTGAAGTACAATCTGTAGTTGGGGCTGGACTAACAGATAGCCCAAAACTTGGAAGATCCTTATCTCCATCAATACACGAAGAATTTCATAAATTTATGGCACAACCAGACGACGAAGAAAAAGGTATCATACATAAAACATTACCTCACACAGCATACAAAAACCCTATCGAAGGTAGTCCTTCATTGTCGACTTCAAGTAACATTCGTTCCATCTCACCCAGTATTTACGAAGAGTTCCAAAAATTCATTGTAGAACCAGAAGGTAATGATAATTTACTACCAGCACCACCACCGAGAAAACACGATAATGATTTACATCCAGATGAAGTTTCCTGTAGTAGATCTGTAAGTCCAGGAATTCTAGATGAATTCCAAAAGTTCATAAGTGAACCAGACGATGATTCATCGGGTAGAAGAATATGTGATCCTGCACCACCCGCAAAAAGTCAACAAATGATTAAAGTTCAAGTACATTGTACACCTGGAAGTCCACCGCCGGAACAAATAGTCATTAAAAATTCAGGAAGACCTAAATCTGACGATCTAGTGAAAATCATACCACTTAAAAGCGAAGACGACGATTCAGGTCAGCTACAATCTGTCTCTTCATCGCAAGCTCAGATCCTCAGGAGGCGTTCCGAGTCTTCCAAGGAAGCCAGGCCGAAAACCGGTAACCAATAAAATGCCCCAAAATCGGTTTTTTTCGGCGCCTTACTTTTTTTTTAGCTATTAAACAAATCATAATAACCCAGTGCTTTCTTAACTGCTGTTTTTAGTGCGCAAACCAGATTAATATATTTTTTGATACGCTGATCGTGATAACTAATTGTTATATTTACACTTGTTAATATAGCATCTAAATAATAATTATCCCATACTTACATGGAAAATTAAAATATTAACACAACTAACATGGTATTTCAATAAAATAATCTTTTTTTTCAAAATCACTAAATTTCATGTTGTATGGGAAAGTTTTAAGAAGTAAATGATTACATTAAATATATATTACTTCAATTTTATTAATCAACTATTGATGCATAAAAAAATAATTTAATTTCTAAAATTTGGCACATAACTAAATCAGTATTTTCATAAAAATAAGAGAATTTATTTTTTGTTTCTTATTCAACTCAATTCTATCATATTTTCTAAAGAATAAAATTTTAATAAATCTAAATGTGATAAACATGAAGTATGAGCATAACAGAATACTTAAAATTCAGAGTAGTAATATTTTTTTTTCAAATAAGTATGCAATGTATATATTTTCTTAAACTTAAACGATTAAAAATATTAATTTGATAAAAATGAATATTGGATAAAAAATTACACTAAGTAGCTCTTAAGACTTAGATCCTCAAAACCTAATTATATAATTTAGATTAGGCCATACAGTTAGACTATTGGCGCGTAGAACTCATGATCTAGTTGAAATGTAAAAATATTAAACTAAGCAATATAAATGATGATACATAATTTATAACTATAACGGTTATTTGATAAGTCTTAGGAGAGATTTTAGTAATTCCATAGTGGTATTTTCAAACACTTGTATAATATATGATGGTGTATATCGGATATAAGTCCTCCTGGGGTGTTGAAATGCGAAAGAATCAACAGAGGAAGGACACTCTCGTTGAAGACGCACAGAGACCTACTCGTTCGCCATCCCAATTAGTTTTCCGTGTGTTATTTTCTATCTACTAACATTTAACTAGATTTCTCAGTCCGGAATGGCATTATAAAATGTATGTACTTTAGGTACAATGGATAAATCTAAGGACCGTAGAGGATCAAGTCGTTCGCTGTTGGGATCACTTCTACACCGAGCTAGCAGTTTTAGAAGTATTAACAAGAAATCTCCAAAACGATCTAGTGCCTCGGAGTTTGTTGATATTGATCCAAAATTCACTAACGTAGAGTTCAAATTTAATCAAGATGTAAGTGCCGAGCGAATGATTGAAAAAATTTTGAATGATAAAACGTTACAGTGGTAATATGATTTTCAGATAGAAAAGGATACGGTTATAATTCCATTACACTCCCCTAATGATAGTTTTGACGAACTCGTTGTTAGCGATTCAGATTCAAATATCACAAGGGCAGTTGTTCACGTTTCATATGAACCTAAGCAAGTAGAAACAGAAACCGTATCGAATAAACAATTATTCGACGATTTGGTAACACACCAAAACAAAGTGCTAATAGAATCAATGGATACAGTTAATGTTGTTGATGATACTGTTAAAAGTGTTCAAATCATCAAAGATGACATTTGGAACGGTAACGAAATCGATGATTGCAAAATTACAAATAATTTAGTGAAACTCGAAGAGTCGTCATTATCACCTGGGTTCAGTAGGTAAATACTTTTTATTCAAAATACTGTATTATATAAAGCACTTAAAGCTAAAGTTTCATCGCCTTGCAATAATTCCATAAGATAATATCCATATTATGTATTTTAAATACGTTTAATTGTTTTAAACAGATCACAAGATCCGGTGCACTCGGCCAACAGCAACGATACATCACCAGACTCGGAAGTGATGTCGTCGCTTTCAGTTGCGGCCACCGAAGAAGAGAAGAAAAAATTATTCAGCCACCCAAATTCGGTGGAAGAAGAATTGCCACACGTCCCAACAACACTTCCGCTAGAAAGGTATGTACAAGTCGTTTATTATGTAATAAAGTATTATTAATTAGTACACATACTAAGTAAACACAGAGTAAATGAGGGGTCCTAGTGGGCATACTGCATCATACTTACGATTGGGGGATTTAAACCAAAATTAATGGAAATGAAAGGGTAGAAAAGGGATTACGAGAATGTGTGTAAGAGTTGGTGTGCAGCGGAAATTGATTACTGATCGAAGAGGTGAACAGTAAACATTATTGGTTAAAAGATTTGAAAGAAAATGTAGATTAGCCTAATTTTTACGGTTGGCAAGTATATCAAGAGTATTATGTTGTGCTCAAAGGCGAGGACAAGAGGGGAAGTAAGCTTTTCAGTAGGGAGTGATGTGTGGCACGAGTAGCATGTGCCAAACAGTTTTGTGGAACAGCACGGGAATAATTCGCTCACCAGCTAGTATTTACTTTGCTGATATATTAGACAACAATTATCGATACGTTGTGTATGTTAATCTGATTTGGTCGGTAACTTTTCCGACTACTATAACCTCTAGACTTTAATTTGTAGTTCGGTCCTAATAAATATCCAGAATACAACGGAAACTGTAAGTTTTCTGTATATACACATGTAAGTGGTGGTAGTGGTTTTACATGGTAATTCTTATTTGTCATACATATCAATACAGTGTACTCTCGATTAACCGCGGAATAAGGTAGCAGGACATCTGCGGATAAACGAATTCCGCGGATAATCCTCAAAATTAAAAAAATAAATTGGAAATTGAAATTTCTTTTATTTCCAAACATAAAATAATATGTACATACACATGTATTAATATTAAACAATCGTATAGTATTTATAGTATTTTTTTTTTTAGTATTTTAAGTCGTCACAAATTATCACCCAATGAAACCGATAATGATTTCTAATGTTAATATATGAATGTATATATTTTTTTTTATACATAAAGGCATGTAAATGATTCCGGGGTAGACGGCGGATAATCGAGAGTACACTGTACTATAATAATTGTAATTAATATCATTGATTTACAATCGATACCTTTACTATATTTTTTCGTAAATCTGATGTCGCTTCCAGATCGGTGGCCGTGCCAATTATACCCGTGAAGCACCGGATCGCCGAGACGAAGACTTGTTCGTTGGATAGGCCGACTCCTCGGTGCAGCACACCCAGTGCCACCGACTTGCCTTCGGGACTAGGCACTTACGCCATCGCAGCCGCGTTCGAAGACTCGCCAGTCATCGCCAGCAAAATACAAATCATACTACCGAAGTAAGTGCAATTGAGGTTGCATAATTATTTAGTATCAGGGCTCGGAAAACCATTAACTTATTGAGATTTTTCTTGAGGAGCCTGCACATTATTCAGAATCTACGAATCCACACAAATTTGTACCTAAATACGTAACACTCAAACCCAAAAATGTACACTTCATAATTTTGCACATTTTTTCCAAATTTAAGAGATTTTTAATATAATTTAAAATTATACCCATATTTTGTTAATAAATCAACAAAAATAAACTTCAACTATAAATACTAACAAAAATCTGGTTTAAAAATAAAGAGCATTCGCACACCACGACCGTCTATATTCTTAATCATACTACAGAGTTAATAATTATTTTGATTATAAATATATTTAATACGATTACTCTAAGCTCATAAAAGTAAAAATTTGTTTTTCATAATGATATAAATAATCATGCGTATTTTCTATAGTATTATAATTTGTATTAATAATTATGCACTTTCTTAACTTTTTGACATGCACTATCTATAAAAAAAATATATATATATTATATATTATATAAATCACAATAGTACGATAAGTATTTTTAGAGCATATTATTATGTATGAGCTTATTGAGCTCATTTCATTGACCAGTGCAGATAGTACACTATAATACAATACATGCCTACATTATTCAATCCGAGCCCTGTTTGTTATATTATACCGAGTACGATTCATTTGACAATTCACGCAAAACCGATCCAGCTGCAGTCGTGCATATTATAATATTATGCTTAAATACGATAATATACAATATATTATTAAGTATACATCTACTGCAGTATTATATTATATTATAGTACATATAATATGGAGACGGATGAATTTGTTTTCCAGAAAATCGTTAGTTTTGAAGAAACAAGCTTCCTCGTTGACAAAATAGCGTATCGTAAACCAAAATTTTCTAACAAAAAAAGGTACGAAAAGGTTCGATAACCGAATAAAATATATTATGGCATTGACGCACGTGTGCATGTACCTGTTTTGCCTATATGCAAGTACATAATATGTATATACCAATGTGCATAACCAATAATACATTAATAATAACAAAATAATAATGTATTAATATCCAACAATAATATACCTAAGCATTGTCTGTACGAGTCCCATAAATATATATATATAATATTATAATTATGTAGACTAACATCATTTTGGAGTTAAAAAGCTTTATGTGTACGTTTTCTTGGAATGAGTTCAATTTTAATTACGTGTTTGATATAATAATAATATGATTTAATTTAGTTTATTTTAACACGATAGTTATTTCATTCATTATAGTACGAATAAAATCATATTATTTTTTAAAATAATATGTCTTTTTTAATTTCCTTGTTAACTTTTCAAAACCTTTATGCACACAATTCTTAACCTAATATTATAATACTCCTAAAAGTGTAAAACAACTAATCATGTAATTTTTCCACATCAAAATGTTTACATTCCCATAAATTTAAAAAAAAATAAAAATATTCAAGCGTACACGCCTTCCGAGCACGTTTTAATCAATGGCGCTATTACCTTTATACTATTTTACATGACGTGATCCTTTAACTATATGGAATTTCTCATAATACTAACGCTGTAGATATTTATTTAGGTACTTAATTTTAGGCACTTTAGTTGTACTTATGAAATTATAATAATTGCTTATTAAACCCTAAACGTTTTCGAGTACCTAAGTACGTACCTATATTCTTATGTAGTCTTTAATTTTATTTATCGTAATATTCGTAGGTATAATCGTATCTCCTACAAGTAGTGATGAACCCGTAAGACTATTTTTATTTTTACCAAAGCATGAAATAATTCTCGTTAAGGCGTTAAATATATTTTAAACTAGAATATTATTTAAATAAAATGATATTGTAAATATAAATGGATCAAACTATGCTTTCAAACGACTTAACAAACATATCATTGCGATAAATAAATAATTTTTAGATTTATAAACAAGTAGATCAAAGAAACTCTATAACACTTACTTACAACCTACCTATCGCAGTATATAATTTATATACGTCCAAATTAATAGAATATTAACCGGCCGTGTTGCTCATAACTTTGAAACGAAAATTTAATGAAGCTATAATTTTTGTCGAAAGTAGGCATTTCGGTGGAAATAAAACAATAGGACTGCATAGCTAAAATAAAACTTGGTTAGAAGTCGTTTTCATTGCCATCACGGAACCCGATAATAATTTATGGTCCGCGTTAAACTTTTGGATCGTAGACATGGATTGAGGACGAGTGGTGAGGATTTTTTGTGCTATTTATAAGTGTACACTTTGGGATAGTAATAACAAATAACAATCGATCACAATAAATCCGATAAAGCCTTTTCATATGCCCAGTCGGCGATATTAAACGACGGCAAACGAGCAAACATGAAAACCACACTTTGGGATTTACGGCTTTATACATGTATACATATTTCGTTGCACTACGCACTAGAGGCAGATGGTACGTTTTAAAATACAAAATATTTTTTTTTATCGATATGTTTTAAGTACAGAGTGTATGGCAGTACCGCACAACATGGTCACGACTCAGCTCAGAGCATGTTTATTATAATATATTTTTGAAACTAGTGCAACGGTAGTCTGGCTGACGCTCTATAAATATACATATTATAATATTATATATATCACAGACGAAATCCGTGAGAAAAGAGTTTTAATAATATTAATAAATATCATATTTTATCCTACGGAAACCTTCATAAATCTTACGCTAAATTAATTCACATTAACGAATATTATCCAAATGCGCCTACCTACATTTTGTCGATAAAATAGTGTCGTACTGTAGGTGCATACAAATATGTCATAATATGTGTTTATAGTCGAAATTCAAACCACATAAACATTGTATAATTTTATATGGACATAAAGTAATATCATTAATATGGCGATTAAATACGATCTCGTTTCACCGCCGTGTCATTCTTTCGACACCCAACTCGTAACATTATAATTATAATTATATTAATCATTAAAATATAAACGAATAGGTACTATACTTCCTCTGTTGAAAATTTAAAATCAAAGAGTTGATATTAAACGCAAAATTGGTACTTTATAGTAATAGTGTTTAGATCAAAAAAATCAATTACTACATGCCTACAAACCACTGCCACGGAATATATAATAGCCTATGTTACTATAATACTGCTAACAACACGCCAAATCACCAACCATCATATACTAAAGCACGAACCACTTACGTGATTCGACCACTTCCTGCTATTACCCGGCACGACCGAAACCAGTTAAGTCCCTTGTGGGCATGCAGCAGTGACCAAAATAATTTCCCTGCACAGTGCACATGAGCCAAATCTAAATAGACACAATAATAGCCCGTCCATATGACAGTGGTGCGCACTTGTGAAATGGCTGTATGATGCGATTTAGACCTGATACGCGATTAATGATTGCCAACCAAGTATTAATAATTATCAGCCCCGGGATTAAAAAGACCACACACGCACTACGGCCGCAACCGCATTTCCTCCATAAACGATATGCCGTATTCCACTGTTCATTTTCCTCCAAAACAAAATGACAAAAACAAATGCAGACAGTTTTCTTTAATAATTATCAAAATAGGAAATGTTAATTTATTTGTTCAAGTGCCGGCACATTGTTGATTCGTAGCCCTATCATTTCTGGCTTAAAAGCGACTTCACACCTCGACGTAAAAACGTAAATCGTGATTTCCGACAAAAAATTATTTTGAAATTTAAAGTAATTTTTTATACCTATGATGAATACACGGCGTTGGCGGATCATCATCCCGACTGCGGTATAAATACGGCGAACGTGGTTGATATTAGATTATACGGTATATTTGTTATAGAGGATAATCGTGATATTTTCCGCCGCCCGTCAGTCAGTACTAGAAAAACCCCTTCTTCGTTGGATCTTTCTCCGCGTCTGTCAATTCTCGATCAATCTCCTTTTTAACGTTGTCACCTACCAGTGGTTACAATAAGTAGAGATGAAATCCCTGCCTAACGAGTCATGCATGTGTATATGCTTGCAAACGTCATAATTTCCGGTCTACCGACACACATCGCCCGTTTCCCGAAGACTACGAGCCGAGGACGCCCGACGGGACGTCAAGGCAAGACTATGTGTACAACCCATACATCATCTCCTATAATATTTACAAGTCCTTTATACGAGATAGAGACTGATTAAAACCCCGGCCCCGGTTCACAGGTAGATATAGGGTCATGTTATGTTCAAAAGTTGAGATCGACCCAACCCTGGAAATTTCCAGGTAAATCATGGTTAGTGAATGATACCATGACTACTGTAACGTCTGTAACGACCAATCAGAATACGATTAAAGTCAAACGACAAAACAGACGACGAAGCTGTCAGCCTGACTTTACGACGGATACGATTCTATGCACCAGTGCAGAACTAAAAATTATATGTCCATATTTTAATGATTAGAAAATAATACATGCAATATAATAATAGGGTTAGATAATAATCGTAAACCCAAGAATGTATATGTACAAAAAGTTCCAGCTGGGACCTCCCCTCTTCCCACTAAATAAACGTATATCTGTGTGCATTTAAAAATAGAAACTTTTTCAATAGATATAATATAAATATAATGACATTATCAAATGATTATGCCTGATAACTGCGCAATGCGTAACAAACGATTTTGACACCATGTGGTTACAAGAATTTCTTTTTTTGTTTTCCGGAAGATTCAACAAGCCCGCAACCACCGTCCAGACACCGACTACCGATCCTCCGAGGCGCCGCCGAGCCCGCAGCGTCAACGTGCCTGTGGGCTGCTCCCGAGGCCGCTGGGTGGACTTCGACGACGACGACGACGACAACCTCAAGCGCGGAGGAGAGGCGTCGTTCAAGCCCAGGTCGCCCAAGAAGATCACCGTCCTACCCATGTCCATGAGACCCCGACGGCGATCGTCGTCCACCCACGCGGACCACAGCCGTTGTGGGTGCGACTGTCACCTCCACGGGGGACACGAAACGTGGCCCGCGGTCACCAGGAACAGAAGCGACACGACTTAAACGAAACCCAAACCAAAAGAGTCGTCGTATTTATAGAAGTATAATGAACGACGGACCCAGTCGTCGTTTTCCGTCTCAGAATTCGCTTAGGTGGTAATGATATTATATATTATTCTAATTCACTGTTACGAAATACTGTTTATATACTGTTATCATATTCATTGCGATTTTACTCACGTCGAAACGATATTTTATATTAGGTATGTTATTTATATTCATTATGTACCCGTCTAATTATTAAAATAATTATGTTATACTATGTATGAAATAAAAAATTTAAGAAATATTAAAAATATACTGTATACTAGCTGCAGCGCCGTGCGGCGTGCGAGTTATACAGAATATTGTAGACAAAGACGCGTAAACTGCAGCGTAGGTGTTCGGCCATAGGCGACAAAAATCGTGCTCAGAATACAAAATTCTGTATAAAAAAAAATATATAATAATAAATTGAAAAATAACAGTTAAATTTTACGCACTGCCATTCTTTAAAAAAAATATAAAAAATAAATGAGCTGACGACGGTTGTTGTACACCTACGTACGATGATTCTGTAATAATCTCCACTATACGTTTAATAAATCGTCCTTTGGCCACTTTTTCACTTTACATTTTTAAAATAATATACATATTATAATGTAACGATATTCTTACGGTAAAGGTTTAAAAATATTCTATTTATTCATTTTCATAGATGTTTTATTGTTATTATAATACTATTAATTTATTATTATTATTATTATTATTATTATACATGCGACAATGTATTCTGCGTGGATAGATGTGTTAAAAGTTCCTTTAAGGCCGACCCTGGCGATAATCATAATATTATACTTTTTTGCCACAAATCGATACGAACTTCGCGTAATACGGAAAATTATTATGCCACACAATATTATTGAGCAATTTGTATGCGTCTAAACTCGATATTCCCAACATATTACAAATCTATAATATTATAATAAGACAATATTATAATTATTTAATAAGTTCATATTATGGAACAATACTATAATAAATCGTACGTTTTTATTCTGGTTAATTGCGTGTGAAAAGCTGACCAAAGATTCCATGGATGTATTATAGTAAGTACTTGATGCGGGGCCAATTTTGGTCAAGGAACTTTTTCAAGCAAATACATTTTTTTTTTTAGAATCTTTCGACATGTTTAGCAAAAATTACACATCTAAGTGTTAAATATATTTATTATTATTATATAATTTATTGTTAAGTTTTAAATTCTAGATGTTTTAGACCAAATAAATAGAATTAAAAACGTTGAATAGGTTATATATTAAATCATTGTTGTCCCTCAGACAATGCAAATATTATGTTTTTCAAGTTTTTAGACCATAACTTTTCCACTTGGATGACTTTGTTCACTTAATAATTTAGTTGTTAAGATTGAACTACAAAATGAGCAATTTTTTATTGATGCAGAGTAATCACAATACTATACGTATTGATTAATAATGCAATTTAGCTAAATAAAATGCTAAAATAACTAATTTGGCTCATTCTTAAATTGTATTTTATATTGTTTTATTTAATTTTTTTCGAAACAAATGATTATTGCATGAAATTAAGTCTATTTAACGTACGTGATTAAATGTACGACTGATTTGTTTCTAATTTTTAACCCTATTGTACATGAAAAAAACATGTTATTTTATACTGTTGTTATTTGTGTATTATGTATGAAAGAGATTACTATTAAAGCGAAAACAATTTATATTAGTCTATTGATTATTTTTCATTTTTACTACAACCTATAGGTACCTGAATTTGTCTTTGGTATCTGATAAATTATCAGTGGGACAATGGATTGTTATAACGAAAGGGCAAAAAATAGTTAGTAAAACATTTGTAAAAGTAAATTGATTTGATTTATTGTTCATAACACCGATTAACCAATGAAAAAAGATAAAATACCAAAGAATAAAGATTGGTAAAATTATAGTCTTGTAGACCTATTAGAATGTTCGTCTTATATCAAAATGTAATTTAAGAAATAAACAATTTGGCAATACCTACGTTGCATTAAATTATTTGGCAAGTTTTGAAAAACGGCCATTCAGTCATTTTAGTAAGTTATGACAACCTTGAAAAATATACGACGAATGAGCATGAAGGATTTTTTTTCAAAAATAATTAAAACAGGCTATGCAAATATGTTTATGACTTGCTCTAATATTTGGTCTCTCATTTACAGTTGACCAATAACGTAGGTATAGTTGTATGAAATTGATTGGTACCTATATCAATATTTTTCTCTTACAAAATATTATGACATCCAATTTTGAACTCGGTAATAATACCTATTACCGTCATATGATTATTCATATAAAATCCCCAAAACTCTTGTAAATTACGAGTACAACATATTTTCCTTCATTCACTACAACCATAGAGTATGATGTATACTGTTATGCACAGTATATAAATTATGGGAAGAATACTTGAAAGCAAAAAAAAATATTTAAATGTTAATAAAGGTATTTAGGTAGGTTTATGAATACGGGTGTACTGTAAATACAATTATCTTAGACGCCCGAAAAAAAAACGATATATTTAAACATTTTGCACAGATGTAATTATTGTTAATTACAGCTGCAGTCGTCTACACAGATGCGATTTCCAACACATTCTGGTGGTTAAGTACACTGATAGACTTGTCACGGGCTTCAAACTACATATCTTTCAATAACTGTAACAATACAGACTTCACGAGGGTAATCAATACCTGTAAAAAAAAACCATCAGATTAACTCTCAGAACGATAATAATATTCAATATGGACGAAACAAATGTATTATTTTGGAATAATACATAAACAAATATTTGGCATACTCAAAAAAGACCAGGTTAAAGCAGCCAAAGGCAGGCTAATATAAACTACTTAGAATTTTTATTTTTTTTTATTTTTCAACTTAGCTGGTATTATTTTTTATTGTGATATCATTATTATTTTAAATACTGTTATGCTATTTATAGGCATTTGACATTTTTTTTTTTAATAAATATCAATAAAAATATTCACTCAGTAAAAATAATTAAAAATTGAATACAAAGTTTTTCATAAATTATAATTATATAGCTATTTTAAACTATTAAAGACTCATAGATGTGAGATACACTTATAGGTATAAGCATTTGAAGTTCAAATTTCGACAAAATTTGTTAAAATCATAAATATTTGCAAATTATGTTGTAGTTAAAAATGTATTAAATATTTAAATGTTCAACTTTTTTTAGCTAAGGCTTGTAAGTATAACCTGATTACACCGTTCAACAGTAAGTCGGTATTGACTCCAATGTTAATTACCTACATTAAAAATATATTGTATTATATACTATAATACTATAATAGTAATTAATTATTAATGATATAATAAAGGCAATATGTTTTAGGCTAAAAATAATTCAACCAACCGTACTAATAATAATAAAAAAAATTATTACGATACTAATATAAATAAATTATAATACTATTATAAATTATAATACCCGGCGTTACTCGTGCAGCATTTTAGCATTAGTTTTGAAAGTGTGAAAACCAACAATTTTTCAATAACAGGTTTACCGTAGTTTTAAAATAAAAGTTGCTTTTATTCATTCCAAATTGTTTTTTTCTCCGTATTTTAAATAAACAATTTAAAAAGACTGATATTTTTGAAATTTTAAAAATTTTAAGGGTTTTTTTAAATTATTATTTTTAGACCATGATAAAAAGGAGGCTCATTTATATTGGTCATGTATATTACATTTTATAAAACCTCAATTAAACAATATCTGCATTATATTTCAAATTAGAAATGAGACTTGCTTTCCATTTAATTAATGTACCGTATGTCCATATTTCATAAAATAATAAATATCATCAGTATAGATGTCTGCCTTCGATTAGAACCAACTTCCCTATGCAATGATTTATAATTGAATTCAAGTTAACACATACATTACAGTGACTCGCTCAACAGAGAGGTCCACTCAATATATACTGTACCAGGGGGCCCAATTTCAATGGAAAAACTGGGGGTGCCGAAGCCTCTTTATTTTTTTTCATATTATCTTATGGTTGTGGATACCTGCATAATGACTGTTAAAATGTAAATTAATATGAACAAACGTGGAGGTGTTAGGCACACCCAAACAACCCCCTCCCCCTCCCCATTGCGCCTATGTAGGTACTGTACAACAGAGCTCTGTCACCTATTTATATCTTTTTTTTTAAACTGAGTTAAGCTAATATAATTTTCCCTATTAACTTTAAGCTTAGAGAGATAAATGTATTATTTATAATAGTATAAGCTATTTACTTCAAACTTAACAATCTTGTATCCATTAGCTTGACTTAACTTGAATCAACATTCGAACTATATAATAGTCTATACGAAATTCTCGAAATGGCATATGAATCTAAGCTAAATTTTTTTTAAGTTATAATATTAATGCTTACGAATACCAGTTCAAATGTAGTAGGTAGCAAAAAGAGAAAAACTAATTATGTTAATTTAGATCTAAAATTGTACGATGGATAAATGATAATTTAAAATTCTTACCTTATCTGGATCTACTTGTTTAGAACTTTTTTTTTTCAAACTCGCCCTAAGGACGTCACTCATAAAACTCGTCAAATCTTCACTTGGTTCTTTTTTGCCCTTGCTCGATTTATATCTTTTAGTGACGGCTTCAATTTTTTTTAAAAGTTTAGACTCTGATTTTTTTTTGTAATCCAAAGGAGCTGGATTATAAGGTTTTACTAAAATAATAAAAATAATTAACATAAATTATATTTCAATGAACAAACTTGTGGTTTAATTGCGCCTAAATATTAGTTTTATAATGAAATTGTATACATTCGTACGATGTTTTACTTCGAAATGAAGACTGAATATTTTCTTACCAGAAATTGATGACATTTTAATATTTTATTGTTAAATATTCAGTTCCATGGCGTACACAAATATTTTCAATGGGAGGAGTCATACATACGTAGGTATAATATGTATTAGGTATGTATATTTACTATATATATATATATATATATATATATCAAAATATTATTCATTTCTCTACATCTATACATTACATAATATAGTAAAAAAATTCCAACAGAACACCCAACCCACCCCCTCCATGTGTACGCTCTACTGATTCTACCACACTCAATTAGTTTCACTAGTACTTTTGATTCCGACTATAGAACATATAAATATGTACTTACTGGCAATAATTTATGATAGGTAAATATTTTTTTATAGATCGCAATTATTTGAGATTGATTTGATTATACTATGAAATAATAGACATATTTTTAACTATACCCGTCCAGTCGTTCAATAATGTGAATAACATTCATCAATCTCAATGGGTATAAATAATGCAACTTATGAAATATTTAGGTTGGGTACAAAAACAAAAGAGTACCTAAGTACAATGATCGAATAAACTATTAACATGAATCAAAATAAATAACCTTTGTTGACGTATTTAATGATATCCTTTGGTTTTCCTGTAATGGTGGTCGACATTAATATTTGCACTTCCCCGGCTCCATCGTCCTTGTTTTTCTTACATGTCTTGTGGTGCTCTTTATGTTTCTCATGATGAGTATCTGCTGCATCTTCATCATCGTCTTCATCATCTTCTACATGTTCCTCGTCGTCGTTTTCGCCGCCATCTTTGTCATTATGATGGTGATTCTTGCCGTGGCCAGAATTTTTTTTAGTAGTATGTTTATTTTCCGAAATGTTATCATGGTCTCCGTCATCATCATCATCATCATCATCGTCATCACTGGAATCTTTGCCTTTTCCTACACCACCGCCATCTGAATCATTCCCGCCACTGGCATCACCACTTTGGTTGTCAGCATTTTGATCATCATCGTTTTCTCCAGAAGTTTGAGCTCCGGACGATTGAGCTCCGGAAGACTGAGCTCCGGACGAATTATCTTCGTCTGAATGGGGGGCTTTTTTTCAGCATAACACGCCGTTGCCTTGGGGGCCATCCTGGTATAAGAACGCTACACACACCACAGCCAATAACCACAGTTTACAGGCAATGGTCATCTTTTTGATTTTTGACTGTACTATGTAATATTTTTGGGGTAGTGTCGAATCGATTGAGTGTGACTGATCAGCGTCCCAAATGTGCCAAATCTTTTTGGCTACTCGAATCGCAGTGGTGGTGGTGTTCGTCTATCACACACGCACACATACATATTAACATACACACAAACACACTGTAATGCAAATGAGAAATAATTTTCTGTAGTCGAAATTTGCATACATTCTATATACTATATAGGATACGGTTTTTGTTTTCATTTTAACGGAAAATCACAAAATGTAAACTAAAAATATATATATATGTGTGTTATGCACTTAAGTGTTCAGAAAATTAATTAAGAAGATATAAACGATGATAGGTTTTAAGTACGACATCGATATTATATGATCAAAAACGATTGAAAGTACCTACAATCGAAATAAAGCGAAAATCACAAACAGAATCAAACAATATGCAATTCATGTAATTATCATAAAATATAATAGAAGAAAGATTAAAGAAGATGGAATAGTATAATATTTATGACACAAATACAAGATAACAAAATATATTCTTTAGCATCGTAGTTGAGTGTAATTTAAGAATACCAACATTTTAAATTGTACCCCGGACATAAGAATTTACCATACCCTTCTAACACCACAAAGTATTCTTATCATGTACTTTACTACCTATTGCAGACATGAAATATTTGTATCGAGTTTATCTAAGTGATTTATTTATACTTATGCTATAATATATATATTTTTTATATCAAAATTATTATGATACTTGAAAATTACTAAAATAAAAATTTCAAAATTACGAACATTAAACGCTTCATTGAACTATAAAAATATTCAACATGTTACTCACCTTTATCTTATAATATTTATTATTATAATATATTTTTACGATTATTGATAAAACAACTATTTAAAAAAAAAAAACAAAGTATTATTTTTACTAATTTCTGGTGTGCCAAAAATAATCTCACCCTATACATATTATAAAGTGTTAGATACTTAACAAAAAAAAACCGTAATGTGTGTGACATGTGGTGCATTTAGAAAGAAGTTTTTGTTCAATGTGCATTCGGTTATAATAACTTGTGTATACACAACATTATAACTAAACACAATTGTATGAAACAAACATAATACCAACACGATTATCATACACGCATCTTATTTTTCGCATATTTCAGTACTTAGGTGCTGTAAAAATGTATAAAAATTCGATTCTGTTAGTTGTTTTATAAACGTGAAAGAAAACAAATACGGCATAGTACCTATATGGATAGTATTCAGCAACAAACTTAGTAATTAACAGATGATTACAAAGACTTTGAGTATAAAAATTAAATTTTCTATTCAAAATGTATAAAGATCAGTAAATAAAAATATTTATTGAAATTGTCAATATAAAAGGATCAATATGCTGTTATATTTATGTTCAAATAAATACAATTTTGACCGCATGAAACAAATAATTCTCAATTAAATAAATCATATAACATGATAAGTTTTGAATTATTATTAGGTAAATAATGTTGACACAGCATATATTATATAATGAAAAATTCATTGTATATTTTATTTAATCAATTTTTAATTATAGATGTAATTATTACAACCTTTAATCTCATCATATAGCTGTTACCTATCATGTACAACACTGTCCACAGATCCAGTGCCGCAACTAGCGGGGGGACCAGGGGTGCTCAGCACCACCAAGAGGCCTCAGTTTATAATTAATTGGGGCCCCCAAATTTATAGAAGTCTAAAAAAAAAAAATTCAAAAAATTCTCATTTCATATACACTACCACGGTCATACAAAATATTACATTTGATTTTCAGTATTGCGTATTTGTGTGTCTACAATCTATTTTGTTGTACGTAGTCGTAGTACGTTGTTATAAGTGTTATAACAAGATTTTATATTTTTATATTATTTTAATTGTCTGATCCAGGCATCCAGCCAGCAGTGGTGCCTCTATGGTTTACGTAGTGGTCGGTGGGAAAGAGATAAGACTGTTTGATGTTAATATTGAATTATTTTTAGAAAACCCGATATTATTTCTATCGATAACAAAAATAACATACATACAAGTACAATATATTACAGCCTACAGCTGGTTACAAACTTACACTGGCTTATGGCTACAGTACACATTCTAATATTCAATGAAGGATTATATTATTATAATATTTTTGTGTGCAATGTAACATTATGACGAATATATCATAAATGGGATTTCCAGTATTTTCACTGGCATGGCACCCGCATTTATATGTATAATATAAAATATTAATATTCCAATATTATGTGACTATGAGTTAGTGTTTACTGTTTAGTTTCAGTATTTACTGTCTCGAGTGTCGAGTGTCGAGTCTCCTCTTAAAATCTATTGAGTTTTACAGTAAGTTGTGCATTGTGCTTATCGTCTGTGTGGTTGTGCTTTATTACTTGTAAAGTTAATAGTTATCAATTATTTGATTATCATACGATAATTTTAAATAAATAATTTGTATAATTATTATGTCGTCACGAAGAGTATATGAAAGTGGTTTTGCTAAACGCAAGGCAAAAGAACAAAGAACCGCCAGTTTGGATTTAATGCGAGGTTCAATGACTAAATTTCTTAGAAAAACATCAGTAACTTCAGGTAAATATGGATTAAAAATTAAAATAAGTATTTTTCGAAATTCTCAATAATTATTCTATAATCTTTAATAACTACCCAAAATTTCTAAATACGGTATAGGTATAGTATAGGTATAACTACCTAAGAAACTCAATGGGACAAGAAAGGCTATCAAATATTAGTATATTAAATATAGAACGCTCAAGAACTCATGAATTGAATGTAAATAAAATTATTGATGATTTTACTAATAAAAAGGCAAGAAAAAAAAACTTTAGTAAGTAATTTTGTCTACAAATTTCCAGTACAATATTGATATATTTAAGATAATATAAGAAAAAGTTATTTTTTAGAACATATTTAAGATTTTATCTACATAAGTATTAAGATATGTATATTTGCTTTATGATTCTTTGTATATTATTTCATTTACTCTTATTCATATTTATAATTTTAAGTATTATTATATTACTATATTTGTATTTAATTTTTAAATTACTTGACTTGTTGCTAAAGTGTATAATAAATGAGGACTAGTTGAAAAATGTAAATACACTAATCTGCAAATATATAGTATTCAAATTACAAGGTAACAAAAACAAGTTTGATTATAAAGGCTGATTCCTATGGGCCATATAGAAACTACATAAAATAATGTAAACAAAATTTGTATTTATATATTATATAGTGTATTGTACTGGTAAAGGAACAGGGGCCCCATTATATTGTTTTGCACCAGGGCCCCACAAAACCTAGTTGCGGCACTGCACAGATCATAATATTTAAGACAGGGATTCAGTGCTCTTTGAATTGTTTTCCAAAGATGGCTACGCAATGCTCGTTTATAACATATTATACGTTGTATGTATTTTTGAATCAAAATAAGTTTGAATTTTGCATTTTTTTCATTTTTTTCATTTTTTAATCTAAAATTTGAATTTTAAATTTTACTATAAGATTTTTACATATTTTCCCTTGATTTTATGTACCTAAATTGAACGAGCTGCCTATAGCCATGATAAATAGATTATCTAAACCTATAAAAAAAAAATGAATAAAGAATGGAAATAATTATTTTTCCAGATTAAAAAAATTAAAAACTGATCGTTTTGGACTTAAATGATGTTTATTATCATTCATATCAAAATTATTAAAAACAAAAATTTCAGTGCATTTTTAGAATTTTTAGGGCATTAAAATCCAAGCTCTACCTATTTATAATATAACATGTTCACAAATCACAATGTTCGCATATTATACCTATAACTTATAAGTACCATTAAAACTACATTTTCAGTATGTATGTAGGTATACAAGTCGTTTGATTTCGAGAACAATATATTATAAATGACTCGAATATAAGTTTCTACATAGTCGATTAAAAAAATGTTTTTTCTTTATGAAATAAATTAGGCATGTGGTGGCACAATAAATGTATTTTTAATCTTCTTTTGATATTATAATATTGTCAATTGTCATCTACATAAGAATACATCACTGGTTGTGAATATAAATAAACAAAGCATGCATGAATAACATACTAGTGCGATACAGTTTTTAATGTTTTTATAGTTTAAAACGTCGTGAGCTCAGAACACTCTTCCATCATTGGTTGAGTATTAACAGTAAAAAAAAAATCAATAGATTTTAATTCGCTTTGGAAATTTATCGTATAAGAAACGTGAAGTATCCTATGAAGTGTAAAGTAATGTTTCATATAAAGTTTTTCGATTATTACAGGCATTCGTCGAAAACTTGCAGTTGATGGCGTAATCAGAAACTTTTTATATTATTCACCAATAAATATCTTACCAAACATAAAATTCGGAAAACAGTCTCGAGTTCCGTCTTCCTAGTGTTATAGTAATATTTATTATATTCTATGTTTTCAAATGTATTATTATTATGCATTCATTATTCATACTTATCTCACTCAGTTCTCATTAACGTCATCAAATAAAATATCATACTAAAAATTATGCTAAGAACCATGACAATCCAACAGACAAATTAATATGGGTTACTCCATACGCATGCGATGAAAATAAAGAAAAAGTAACAACTCATCGAAATCTGTTGAGGAGTTAGAGCGATCTGTTAAATATTTATAATACCTGCCTACCACTTATGTCGTGGAGGGGAAATAAGAAAACAAAATAGTAGGTACATACTTCACTCCTTAGTCCTTTGCGTCGTTCCTATATAGAGTTATGGTATAATGCAGGCGTACCTACTACCTACCGTACATCCCACTTAATATAAATTATACTTTTTAGTATAAATAGGTACTAATAGAGTAATATACAATAGTGACTATGTATATACAAGTAGGTACCTATAATATTTTTCCCCATTTAGATAAACATTAAAGTTGTGTTCGTTGTGTACATGGGGCAATAATAAGTGGTAACACGCACCGTTTGTCTAGACACTATAAAACTTTACAATGTTGTACATAAAACAAAACGATGCGCCATGAACCTCA